AGAGACAAATATATCATATAATAAGAGCACAGCATAATGGGAACAATTAACACATGTTTCATCCAATAACTAAATTCACCTCTGCAACCGCAAGCTTTGAGCCAAGATCAGCAGAATGCCGCAATTAAACATCACACTTTCTTGAGGGTTATATAGTTGCTGTTATTTAACAAGAGAAATTACTTGGATGCAACCAGTCATCGTAGTACCTGAAAGTAAAAGTTGCCTTAAACTTTGTTATTGTAGTAATAATCTATTCGCCAGTAACCCCTGCTCAAATAATGAAATCATGAAATCACCAAGATCCTTGTATTCAATTATGAATTTCTTGGCAAAAAGGCTAACTTCTATTTTACCAAAAGTTATCTCATTAAATCAAACAGATTTTGTGAAGGAATAAATCAAACTCACCATAACGTACATGCATCAATTCCCAAAAACAAGAAGCCCATAAAATATCCTAAATCAAGAGCTTCCCTCTAAGTGCTTTACTCAACTATGTAATTAAACTTGGAACGGAGAGTGGGGAGAGGGAGATCATGAATGGATGAGAACGCGTGAGTAACCATGCGCCGATTCTACGGGAGTGCCGCAGAGAGAGAGAGAGAGAAAGGAGCATAGAGAATGAGCAGGAGAGAGTGAGGGATTGGCAAGAGAGAGAACATGAGATCGAAGAGAGGGGATTTGGCGTGCAGAGTGGGATGAAACTTGCTGGTTGATAATGACTAACTGGTGTATAGCACACAGTATATTCATTTACGACTTCAAATCTAATGGATTTTTTCACTAATGACAAAAGGGGAATTACTTGGATGAAGCGCACTTTAACAAACTTCAAAATGAGACCTAGTAAACGGTACATCTTCTGGCAGGCCTTATCTCATGATAAATTATAATTGTACAATACAAGCAACAACAATAATAACATCAAGCTTTTATCTCACTATGTTGGATCGACTATATGAATCTTTTTTTTATCCATTGTCTTGATAATAGTCAATTTCTCATTAAAGACGGACTAGCGCAGTTTGAAGTACTTGTTGGAGCAGTGGATGGTGACAGAGGAGCATCATAGGTGGTTGTCCAAGTAGTTGGGTTATGATTTTGAGATCCAATACAGGTCACGAGTGGAGAACAAGGCAACAGATGTCTTGTCCGGATGTATGGGGGAGTTGCAGGCGACAACAGTGTCAATTTCATTGATATTAGATTGGGAGGCCATCAAGGAGGAGAGTGAACGGGGTGAGGAGTTGGGGAAGATCAAGGCTGATTTACTAAGGGAAGGGAGTAGCCATCCAGGGTATTCTTGGTAGGGGAGAGACTTCTGTACCAGAAGAGGTTTGTGATGCCTCGAACATCAGTCCACATTCCACACTTGCTTCAAGAGTTTTATGGGAGCGCTGTTGGGGGACATTCAGGGTGCAGAATACCTACAGGAGACTAGCTTCAGAGCTATACCGGAAACAGATGCATAAGGATGTGGAGGAGATGGTTGCCATGTATGAGGTATGTCAAAGGAACAAGTGCATAACGATGTTTCCAGGAGGATTATTACAACCATTTGCTTTACTAGGTCAAGTATAGGAGGTGTCAATGTATTTCATAAATGGGCTACCCAGATCAGAGGGCTTCACAGTGATACTGGTGGTGGTTGACCACTTAAGCAAATATGCTCATTTCATTCCCCTATGACATCCATACACTGCAATGAAAGTAGCATCAGCCTTCATCAGAGAGGTGGTCAAACAATATGGAGTACCAAAAGCTATAGTGTCTGATAGGGATAAGGTGTTCCTCATCCATTTTTGGAGGGAATTGTTCAGACTGCAGGGGACAATATTGAAGAGGAGCACCGCCTACCACCCACAGACGGATGGCCAAGAAGAAGTGGTCAACAGGAATTTGGAAATTTACTTAAGATGTTTTGGGTCGGAGACACCCAAGTTATGGGCCAAATGGCTAGCATGGGCTGAGTATTGGTACAACACATCTTTTCATTCTGCTTCTCAGATGACCCCATTTAAGTTGTTGTACGGAAGAGATCCACCTCACTTAGTGCACTATGGGCATAGCCGCACTCTAATTTCTTCAGTGGAAGAATACTTGGAGGAGAGAGACATGATATTTGAGGAGTTGAAGAGGCACCTGCTGAAAGCTCAACATATTATGAATAAACAGGCATATGGGTATAAAAAAGACATCCAATTCGAGGTAGGGGAAATGATGTTTTTAAAGCTTTGACCTTACAGGCAGAGATCAGTAGCCAGCAGGAGAAATGAGAAGCTTGCCCCAAGATACTTTGGACCATATGAGATATTGGAGAGGATTGGAGTATGACTTATCAGCTGAAACTACCTCCAACGGCGACAATATACCCGGTGTTCCATGTATCTCAATTGAGGAGGGCAATTGGAGACTCTGCAGCAAGCTTTGCGTTACCAGTGACACTAACTGAGGATTTAGATGTGATGTTGGAACCCTTGAAGCTTATGGGGGTTTGCCAGAGAGAAGATAGACCTAAAGAAGTGTTGATCAAGTAGAAGAACCTCCTGGACTACGACGCCACATGGGAGCCATATGAGAGGGTGAAACATCAATTCCTTATTTTCACCTTGAGAACAAGGTGATTCTTTGGGAGGGCGGTAGTATTAGACCGTCCCTTAGTGGACCAATCAAGTCGGTCCCCTCTAAGGGGTCGGTTCACGTTTACACGAGAAGGGGCGGCTACAACAGAGAGAGAGAGAGAGAGAGAGAGAGAGAGAGATTGGGTGGGGTACACTTGAGTTCAAAATAAAATTTAGAGCCAAAGGAGGGGGCGGCAATGGCCTTTAGGTCTTTTTGTTTTAATTGCATGCCTTAAGTATGAGAGGGAGACTAGGGTTAGGATTATATTTTGATTATTGTGTTCTTGTGAGGGTTCTTCTTGGTGTCTTGGGCTCTAGACTCATCTAGAGATTGGTAGAGAACAATCCTCCACTCGAATTGAGAATCAATTGTATCTTTGTTTTCGTTGTTTCCATTAGGTCTCTCATTTGCAATCCAATTACGGTTTGGAGAGTTTTCCACCATATTGTGTGTGACTCGATTGTTGTTTTTCTCTATTCTTGTTAGGATTTACTTGAAATATTCAAGTATTTCCTATCACCTTGTTATTGTATCCTCCACTTTAATGTAGTGTTAATCTATGACGTTTGTTGTCAAGTTGGCTTGGTTTTACATAAATGTAATTGTATAAACATCTTATTCAATCACCATCCAGAGCTTGAAGAACTTTGAATGCTAGCATATTTAGTCAACACGAGTTGATAGCTTTTAAAAAAGTGAGAAGAGTTCAGAAGGGAAATGAAGTACCTTGTACCGCTTAACTGAGAGTTTTGCTTCATGGACCAGGAATCAACTATCAAAAGGATTAATAAGATCTACTAACCCCTTAACTCACGCGAAATATGAAAAGAACTGCCAAAATGAGTCAGATTGTTATAATCTAAAAAAATATGGATCAATGAAAACTTACACAAAATAATTGCCAGACGACAGGTATAAACAGATTTTCAAGAAAATGTCTGAATGGCAAAAACTAATCCTGGACAGAAACCAGTCAGGGTTGCAGCACATGCCACTCAAAAAATTTCTCAACAGAAATTTAAAGCATGATCAAAGTCTCACTTATAATTCTACAACGATAGGATAATAGTCCATTGAAACCCACTAGCATATGCAACTCTAGATTCATTTAGCAACGCTTTCAACATCAGCCATGCTGCACATTAAAAACATTTCATTTACTTTAGTATGGTGATTGCCCGTCTGCTATGCAGCTCATGGACAACATTTAGTTAACTGAAATCAAGTGATTTTTATGAACATGACGAGTGTTTTTTTTTTCAGGCTACGCACAATGCTTGCCAAGCAAGTGTAATCTAGAAAACAAATGAGCTTCTTAAAAGCGGTTTCTTTTCAATTTTAAATGTGCCCAACACAGATGTTTCAGATGCAGCAAAAAATGTGTTGAATATCCAAAGCAAAAGCAGATGAAAAAGAAAAAAAAAATGCAAGACAATGAATTATGAAGACCTGCTGATGCGGTACGAGCTAGAAGGCCCCTCAACATATCACAAACAACAGGCAATCAGGGAAATTAGTTAACATGCATTTATCGTATTCCATTAATGAGAATGAACCAACATGTAAGAATTGAAAGGATTATTCATGCAGCAGTAATCAAGCAATGCTGGATTGAGGAAGCCGGGTTCTTCCACAATGGAGCTTTAGAAGTTTTGGAATTTCTTCAAGAGAAAAAAAAAGATAATGAAAAACAAGACCAGCACCTCTACAGCATTTACAGTGCATAAGGGAAATCTGTGCAACGAACTTTTGCCATTTGGCAGTAGAATGGTAATTTTGGGGAATAACGGACAAAACACAAAAAGATTAATTATCGAAAATAGCCATGGAGAAAATAAAATAGGATGGGAAACCAAACATAGCACACGAAATATAAAGCGGGCTGCAGGAACCGAGCCAATTGATCGAATAAATCAATTATGTATACATTATCGTTAATTTTTCTTTGTATCGAGAATGGTCTAATTTTCTTTATCTTAAAATTTCTAATATATGCCCACTAGATAATGATGTTTGATTAAATGAATCATAACCAAGTCACCTTCTTTAAAAATTTTCTTGCACTAGTAACTATTGGATATAGCTTCATACTTGTCATTGGACTCCTCTGGCGCTGCTTTACTTCCGATGTATTTACGCTGCTTTACTTCCGATGTATTTAAACATGCTCCACCAATTGTTCCGTCATGCGATTCGCACTAAGTGGCACAACATCCAAGAGATCAACAATAACATTTGGAGTTTTCATATGCATGATGGAGAATAGAGTGCACCCTGTTGGTCGATTAATCATTTATTGAATGCAAATTCAGGTTGGGTTATAGCTTGATCCCAAGATTTAGGCTTGCTTCCTTTGCTCCTAATCATGGATCCAAATGTGCAGTTAACAACTTTTGTCTGGCCATCATTATGTTAGTGATACACAATATTAAGTGTCAAGGTTGTGCCAAATTTTCTCTATAACACGTGCCAAAAGTAACTTACAAATTTAACATCACGATTGAAAGCAATAATTTTTGGTATTCCATGATACACAAATTTCACAAAGAACAAGTTAGCAATATTAATTGCATCAAAATTTTTTTGAATACAAATAAAATTTCCCCTCTTCAAAAATAAATCCACCGCAAGAATGATTAAATCCTTCTTTTGTTATGTCATTGGCAAACCCAACATAAAATCTACACTAATTACTTCCCATATATTGTCTAGCATAAGTAATAGACAATAGAGTATCGTGTTTTGAGTATAGCATCTGGCGGCTTGAAACGCGTCACATCCTTGCATAAATTTTGTAATATTGTGGCGCATTCATGGCCAAAAAAAATTGATCATCAATAGATGCTATAATTTTGTTACAACCAATATGTGCGGCCAATACTCTAGAATGTAAGTCTTGGATAATTAACTCATGGAGAGACATTCTTGGAATGCACAGATGATTATCCTTAAACAAGAAACCCCTTTATATATGGAAATCTCCAGTATTGAGAGGTTGCTAACATAGAATCCATATATATGTGATGAAAGTCTTCATATATTGTGCAGTTCTTTTAGGATGTCAAAATTCACAAGTTCCATATGAAGGGTAATCATATGAGCAACCCATCGGTTAAGAGCGCATGCAGCACGATTCAATTAGCATGTGTGATGCTTGAAACGGAATGTGAACTTTGTGAAAGAAAATCATCCACCAAACATGCATCCTAGACAAGGTCTTTTGTGAATTAATGTACTTAGGAGCATTGTAATCACTGTGTGCTGCAAACTTTGTGTATTAAATAATATTCTCAATGTTGTATAGCCCTCAATATAATTCTCTAAGGGCATTTGTTGGATTTGTGTCGCACCTGTTTACAATGAGAACAATGAATAGTAGAGGGTCGAGCATATGGATTTAACAATGAATAGTAGAGTCCTTGGCATCCTGTTTAGATAATGCATATACTCTAGGCTAAGTATTTGATCGGCTTTGACTTGGCTCCGGAGTGGAAGCAACTGATTCTATCATCCTCGGTCTGCCAACATTATTCTAAGGTCTCACATTCATCCTTCATTCTCCTTTCCCCAGAGTAGGGCAGCTCTTAGCTATATATCCAGGTTGACAACACAAGAAGCAAGTATTTGTTCTAAAAAGGCATTCTCCCTTGTATTATTTTCCACCTTTGTTACAGATATTTAAGCTCATTTGACTCTCATTGTTACTGGGTTTTGCCTTCTTCCAATTAGACTTCCTAGATTGCAAAAAGGATCTAGTTTGAGAATCCTGGGAAGCTCCCACAACATCTACATTCTTCCTTTTCTGAAATTCACGCCTTTTGGATATTTTGAACATCAATTTCAATCATTCTAGCTCTCTCCACCAATATAAAATAATATTCAATCTCTAGAGGAACAAGAGGATGCCTGATAGCATCTTTTAATCCAGATAAAAACCAATGACACATTTCTTCTGCAGCATGAACTAATTGAGGAGCATATCTGGAAAAAATAGTAAATTCTGCTTCATAATGCATAACAAATATGTCTCTTTGTACCAATCTTAAAAATTTATCCTACATTTGCCTCCTCGCAGAAAGAGGCACAGACCTATTTCGGAACACCTAAGTAAATAGAATACTCATTCCATTTGATCTAGAGGCTAGGTTTCCCTTCAAATTTATCCTCGTGCTTACCCCCCACCACCTTTCAGCCTTGCCATGAAGTACAAATATCGTCAATGAAATCTATCTTTTGGGCTAAAAAATCTCCTCTAATATCTTCTCGACCCGCAATAACCAATTTTCTACCTTAATTGATCCCTCTACCAATTTAAACAATGGTGGTATCATATCCTAAAATAGTTATAAACATTTATCCATTGACATGCTACTACTACCACCACTTCCTAATGGTTGATTTCTTGAGTCTTGAATTAATTGAGTCATTGCCGTCATCATTTGCATCGGTGTATCAGGATTAACAACAATATTTGGTATGACCTTTTCCACATCTTCTTTAGGATCATCCTGAGTCTTGAAATAAAATAAAGTCTCTTATAAAATTCATAATTTAATATCAATTAATTTTCCTTACTCAATAATCAACTTAATGGCTTTTTCCATACGATTCATGTCCTATTTGAGGTCTCTGATACCACTTTGTCACGACTCGGATCGGAGACTCAAATTAATGCGGTGGGAATGAACGATCGGACAGTTAATATGTTTCTTCAATTACATATAAACAATAAAAACTAACATCCCACAAAACTAAAGAGCCACTAAAGCAATTGCATATTAAGCATATACTTAAATCATACAACTAAATTGTTTACCTATTTTCATACGATCTCCTTCTTCTATAGGCATATTCCTCTCTTTCAACCATTTCTACTTATTAAAAGTTTTACATGAAAATTAAATTTAACAGTTTGAGTTTACATGACAAACTCAGTGGATAATCACAATATATAATATGATAGTTAATCATATAAAATAAAACATATATACTCTTTTTCATCACTTATATAGTTAATATATACACAACATCTTATAAGCTGTAGATTCTTATAATTTGCCATTTTAAATAACACATTTCTTTTCCTGTCTCATTTATTCATTTTTATTTTAATTTATTCATTTTTCCTTTTATTTAGTACAAGAGTAGTCTAAAATTTGTACCATTGAACGTAAAACCATTTCCATTTTAATTTTTATTTTCATTTAACGAGCACGAGTACATTACATCCCCAGTCAATACTATAAAGGGGTGAACTGCAGTAGTTGCATGTATGCATCTTCTCCCTTTTTTATCTATACTTTCTTTTACATATTGTAAGTTATAATTGCAAAGCATTATTTATATTTTTATTTATGAGTGTTAAACTTTCATTATTTTGAACATAATAGGCCTTCAACATAAATAAATAAATAATTATCATAATTTAATAGCACAAACTGAAATGATAAATAAAGAATGTAATTGTTATATGATGACTATAATTATCGACTTTGATTTTCTCAATTGCTTAATTCTATGCATAAAACATTCAATAATCATTTATGATACTACATGTGATAATTGCAATAAATTCAAAAGAAATTATTATTGTTATAAAAATAATTGTAATTAACAGCTTGTTTATTTTCATGCTTCAATTTTCTTCCAAATCTTGAGCTTGATATAAACTTTCAATACTCGTCTCAGTTCAATTATGAAAAATCTTTCATTGTACAAAATTACATGATGATATCTTAATTAACACTAAAATTTAATTTGGATGCCTCAAATATCATCAGAAGCAACATTAAATTTTCTTAAACCTCTTAAGTTAACACAAATTACTTCAATCATTTCCAAAATAGACTTTTAATTAATTGAATAACATTACATAATATTGAATGGCTCTAAATCTTCCACAATTTCTCTTGCACTATCCACCTTACTCTCTAACATAATATAAAATTAATTTTTTTCTCAAATCAAAGATAATTACCTCAATAAATTTTTTCCTCCTTCAAAGTCGAATCAAGGCTTGCTTTGCTTGGATTATTCCTAATGACATTAATATTTTATTCATTCAATTAGAGGAATGAATGTGTATAAATTTCGTATCTAAGTTGAATATAAATCAATCACTTACTCCTTCCTCCGTTGTCAGACATAAGAAACTTCAAACTCCAAATTCATACTCTTTCTCTTCCAAATTTTCTTCATCTGCGTTCAATTGAGTCGTAACCCTCTTCTCAGGTTTAAATCATAGAAGAGTTTGCATAAAATGAACAAAATGCACAAACTTACCTTCATTCTCCTTCTTTCTCTCGGCACAGTGCCTCTCGATTGAAGCTTCTCACGCATGTTTGATTCCACTAGAGTGAGGGAATCGGAGTTATCTACGACAAGGAGTTGATGCTTTTCACTCCTGCACGCGGCTCCTCATTCAAACACACGATCCGACCTCGCCAAACCCTCCCGCGCCCGCATGCGGTTCATTCAGCAAGCTATTATGCTCCCACACTCATGCAGCTGATGTTAAAATGTTCGGTTCAATTAAATTGAACATGCTTGGTTCTTACATTAACTTAGCTAAAGGAGCATTCATTTAGTCAATTGTGCACAATTGACTATTAGTGGTAGCTAAACCCTCAACGACTATGGAAGAGGAAGATTTCTTACTTGATGGGAGCTGTGGCTTGTCACTTGAAAACTCCATAGATGTTCAGGGACTAGAAGAGTATTTATGGAAAGTCCTAGACTGGCTCTTTTCAACTTTATAAGCAAGGTTGACAGTTTTGGATAATTACTGATGCGGACATCAATACGAAGATTTGGCGCATCTATCACAGGCGGCGTCGTAAATCGACAGCCATTATTTAAATTTTCATTTATGTATTATTTTCTGAATTTTAGCTCTTGTTTTATGTATTTCCTAGTTTACCCCTAGGATAGTTTATGTGAGTGTTTTGGCCCAAGGGGCATTTTTGTAATTTTCTATTTTTTCTCATGTTATGGCCTATAAATAAGGGTCTTAAGCTATTGTAAGAGATGGTTGATTAATATGAAAAAATTTGTTTTCCACAATGTGTTCTTTTCTTCTTGAGAGAGGACAAGAGTGAGATTCCATTGGAGAGGAATCGAAGTTGTCACCAGCCGCAGGATGGGTCCGGGCTTGTGAATTAAAGTCCCTTGGAGAAGGGCAAACGGATCACCCGTCAGTCTTCGGAAGAGTCCAAAGGCTCGCGGTTTTATTGTCTCCTTTTGATTTTATTTTCTCCTTTTCGTTTTTTTTTTATCTTCGATCTTCTTTCTTTCGTTTTTATCTTTTCTCTAATTGTTTTTCCATCGTCTTCATCCTCCACCCATTTAGCCGCCGGTTTCCACCCCAAATCCCCCCATACCCGAACCCATGCCGTCGGCCTCCATTCACCTAGCCGCCGATCCACTCTCCTCCTCCCCCATCCAAGCTTGTTTCCTATTTTAGAATGAATTGAATGTGGGTAGATTTGAAATTCAAAATTAATCATTGAGAATTTCAAAATCTTTTTCCTCTTTAATTAAATTTATTTTAGGAAAGTTTCCATTTTTATCTAATTTGAATTTGAAATTCAAATTGGACTTGAAATAATTTTCCCAAATCGCTTACCTAAATTAAGGAGTTTTAATTATTCTAATTAATCTCCCCATGGTCTATGCATGCCGTCGGTTCCACCTCACCTCCACCTTGGCTTGAAATAATAATTATTGCCTATTCTCCCCTTAGTGCTTTTGGAAACTATTTTTAAATCCCTGTACGTTGCTTATAACAGATCTTTCCTAAGCCTTATTTCCAAATCTCTGAGAATAAGATTTAGGATTTAATTGCTAAATTCCCTCTCAGCTCACCCACATCCCGCCAGCCTCCATTAAATTCCCTGTGTCCCGCCTCCCTAAACCAATTAAGGGAATTTATGAATTAAAATCCCTTTAATTTTCCCTGTGGTCCCGCCGTTAGGAAATTATTTCCCTCCATCTCCTTATCCTCGCTTCCCCCTTCTCCTCATTGCTGGGTTGAAAACTTTCCACAAGTGCAGCCAATTATTTGGAAAAAATTAATTACCCAATCCTCTCTCTGTTGGCCCAAATTCTCTCAAGCCTACTTAGCTTGATTTTTCCTCCCAAGCTCCATCCCCATTATTAGAAAAACCTGAAACTTATTTCAGGTTTGATTTGGATTCCTTTCTCTACAAGATTGTAAGAGAATATTTCAGATTTTTAGAGAGGACTTCCTCTCCTTTACAACTCCTCCTACCCGTTCTACATCAATTACCAAATGGATTGTAGAGCCAGATAATCACATAAGAATTCCTGAAATCCATTTATATACTATAAGACTCGAAGGCACTTCGGTTCATAGAAATTAACTTGAGTGCTTAAGAAATAAAATTCCTCTACCTAATCACTAATTAAACATCCCTTCTGCTGGCATTATTGATATTGGGACTAGCAGAGTATTTATGGAAAGTCCTGGACTGGCTCTTTTCAACTTTATAAACAAGGTTGACAATTTTGGATAATCACCAAATGGATTGCAGAGCCAGATAATCACATAAGAAGTCCTAAAATCCATTGAGATACTATAAGACTCTAAGGCGCTTCGGTTCATAGAAATTAACTTGAGTGTTTAAGAAATAAAATTCCTCTACCTAATCACTAATTAAACATCCCTTCTGTTGGCATTATTGATATTGATTATATAGAATTTGGTTATAACCGATAAGAAGAAATAATTTCCCTCAATAAATTGTGCATTTGAAACCAAGAATGAACAGGGCGTGTGCCTTCCTATCGCTAATTAGTTTGGAGTTGCTCCCACCATGCTAAAACACCTCCTTGAAGTTTATAGGACATAAAGTTGACATGTTTCTCCTAAAAAATCCCCCTATATTCACAAAAAAAAGTTCCATCAGTTTAAGCAAATCTAAATATTCCCCAATATGCATAGCATGTTAGTTAAAGTATGGGATATCAAATTTAAATTTGAGCTATTGTTGATGGGAACAACACGCATAAGTTTCATGGACATACTTTGGTCATCATAAGCGAAGTTGATAACCTGAGATAAAGATCAAATAGAATTCATTTCCAACTTGCCTTAAAAGCCCTCCTTTAAAGCTACAATTTATCAAACTAATTGATTGGTTCTTTCATTCAGATTGTTCCTCACACTTAATATGGAAAACTACTCAATATATTTGTTGATAGTGTGCATTCCCAATGAAGTAGAGTGTCGCGGTGCCAGCTGATGGGGACATCAGCAGCGATTTCAACACATTTACCTTTAGGAGATGCCGGAGATCAACGGCCACGATCATGATTTGTATTTTCATCATTTTATGTAGTGAATTTTTTTTTTATTTTATGTTTTTCCGTTTTTACCCTTATGGGTATTTGGTAGCTATTGTAGCCCAAGGGACATTTTAGTACTTTACTTTCTTTGTCATTTTGAGGCCTATTTATATGGCCCTTTTCTCATGTAAGAGTTAGTTTTTGATGAAATGAAAATTACTTTGTGTTCTCTTTGTGAGTGCCTCCTCTCTCTCAAATCTCTTAGTGAGTTTTGAGAAGAGCTAGATCTCATTGTGAGTTCTAGACCTTCTTCCATTTTATTTTTGTAATCAATTAGTGTGAAACTCAAAGAGAATACATCCGGATTGTATTCTTCTTGAGCTTCCTCCCCACAACCCCTTCCACCACCTACCCTGTCCAGCCACCGGCCAGCAGCAGGCCAGCCACCCGCCGGACTGCAGCCTTCCAGCCGCCTCCTTCCCCTTCCACCTCTCTACCCGCCGGCCCTTCCTCTTGGATTTTGAATTTGAAATTCAAATTCTCCAAGAGCCATTACCCAAAATTAACTTCTGAATTTATTCCATCATCTTAATTGGAATTCAATTCCAATTTGAAATTCAAATAGCTGTTTCAGTGTTTAAGCATAAATTAGGAAACTTTCCCTCTTGATTAAAATCTGAATTTATTTCAGTTTTATTCAAATCCTTTACTTAATCAAGTGGGCCCCCACCTCATCAAAACCGAAACTCCCTCTCTCCATGCTCTATGGCCGGCCACCCATACCCATTACTCCTCCCTTTAATTAGGAGCTTAATTCATGGCTTCAAATAAGGCCTCATTAAGTCCTAATCTCCCTCTTAAGCCTAAATTTCAAATTTCAAAATTTGAAATTACAAAGTCCAAATTAAATTAGGAAATCTGAAATATGCTGTCCTAAAGTTTCCGATTGCTGTCCACCACATCAAGAAGGGTTTTGGTTGCCGTCTACTTCATCTCAATGCATCCAAACAGCCACTAAAGCTTCATGTCTTCTATTTCTTTGGGTAAACTCATCATCTGACCCTTTTATCTTTGTAGTTACTTCTCTATTGTTGTGATATCTTGATTCATGGAAATCATGCTAATCTTCTCCGCTAAAACCTAGTAATTGGATGAGTTGTGTGAGGGATCTTCTCATAGCAACTAATCTTATTGTTAGTCTAGGGATATTTGTGGAAAACCATTCATGTACGCAACGTTAGATTGACTTGATTGTTATATGATCTTAACTCTTACCCGTGTGATTCAACCGTAAGCTCGTTTTTCCGTTCTTAATGTTTTATCTCGTCGTTCAAATTATTATAAAGATATAATTATTTGTTCTATCTAAAATTAAGCGTGCAAGCTTTCATTACGAAACCCATCATCGCATATACGTTTCACATCACCAGCTCAAAGTTTTATAAAAATATCAAATTTCACTTCCACAAAACCCAACCCCACCCCCTAGGCAACAGATTACATAGAGAGTCAGAAATCCTAATGAAAAAAAGCTAGGATTTGACGACTCTGATCTATTTTCTATTGTCGGCCCAGTTAAGACGGGGGCTAAACACATAGAATTGCTTGAGGAAGGAAACTCGGAAGGTGGGAATGGAGCTCTGAAGCAAGCCCCTGGCCTGACCAGGCTCCCGGTAGAGCAGAGGAAACGGTTAGGATAATGAACTTGAAACGCGGAGCCCGAGCGGACGGCGAGCGAGTGGTTAGTGGCAAATAGCGCCCTAGTTGATGGCATTCCTCTCTGCGGCTGGCACTCGAGGAACCACGGGGCACTCCATACAGAGCAAGCAAGTCTGAGGGATGAGACGCCCCCGCAAGGACCTAAATTCTCATTCTGAGGTCGAACCGAGGAATAAAATTGTTCAAATCACGGTAGATTAGGGTTGTAAATAAGTTGAATATCTGTCTAATCGAGCTAAGCTTGTTTAGCTGTCATTGATTTTTTTTTAGCAGTCATTGAGTTCGAGCTCGAGCTCAACTCGTTAAAAAATCCATAAGCTCGAGCTCGTTTAAAAAGCTTAAGTTTGACTCGATTGTTGAGCTGGATTTCTTAGCTTTAAATTAAAATTTTTAATTTTTTTAGAACTTTAATTTTAATATAGAATTTATTTAAACTTATTAAAATATATTATATAATACTAATTTAAATTAATTATTAAATATATTTTAATTTAATCAAACGGCTCAACGAGCTTTCGAACCGAGCTAGGATTAAGGTCGACCTCGCATCTCGATAAGCTCGACTCGCGAGCTTGTTAATGAGTCGAGCTCAAGCCAGCTCGGCTCACTTACACCCATAAGGTAGATTACATTCTACATATCTCAGTTTTTAAAAATATAAAATTTTTGGGATTTTATAATTTAAATTATAATTTCTTAGCGTAAAAAAGATAATAACTTTACACACACTAAATTTTTCACCGTGTAACTTTCTGTATGTTGTAGATATGATCATTCTGGGCATTTAGGCAATTTTTTTCTGAAAAATTTACACAAGTAGTTTACAAAGTGCATTATTTTTATCCAATAAGAAAACATTTCTGATCCCAAAAAATAATGTTATAGTATAATTAAAACTTCAAAACAATCCTCTTAACAATTCTAGGTAATCTGATGAAATTCTAAAATTGTGAAATTCTACTCAGTTGTTGAATATGTTGTCTAACAATAAATCATTACGTGAATTTCTAAAATTGGTTTTGATATGCTAATATAAAGAGTCATAAGGCCTGAATTCTGATCTCTTTTTAATGAGAAGCATAAGAGCCTAAGCAAAACCTACTACTTTATGCTCTGATATATTAAACACATATTTATTTACATTCCATATAAAGTCCATTATATTTCAGTTGTCTACAAAGCAATATTTTGTTCGATACAATAAATTATTATCAACTGTTTTTAAATTCAATAAAAAATGATGGGTTTATTATTTAAAATTTAGATCAGTGGGCGTGACATGCTTAGTCTGCATTCTGTTTCAAGTCAGAAAAAGGGTAAGAAACCGGTTGAGTAGTTGTGGTTGCAAGATTTGATTTGTCTGAGTTGGTATAAGTACTTTCTGGTTTATAGCTTTTGTAGAGTCATGACTATCATTTGTTCTACACTGCTCTCTTTTATTTTGAGTTTGTAGCAATGTACTGTAGTGTATATATTTTATTGTATAAATATTTTGATGATGAATGAAAAGAAAACAAATTGTGGATAAATTTATTTTTTGTTTATTAAAAATTAATTAGAAGCTCTATAGTCTGTTTTAAATAAAAGGAAATCTGAAATATCCAAAACTATATCTTAGGACTTGGTCTGTCACCATTCAACACGATAAGACTTGTCCTACATGTGGGTTCTATTTGGTTGGATTATGACACTACGAGGGTGCCACATTAATCTGGCATGGAGGTTGTGTTAGCAATTCTTCTTGTCTTGAGGTTTTAAAACTCATTGCATCTCCACCATGAATCGAAGAACTTGATGAGATTATATATTCATTGGTCGAGACTTGACTAAGCAACCCACAAGGAAGATAAAGAGACTAATAGGCAGTGAAAGAATGCATGTCGCTATCATCCTCTCACTCTTATATTTCTCATTATATACTTTTTTCTTGCATAACATAACTGACTGTGTGGAGAGATTATTATGTGCGGTCACCGGACAGTCCGAAGGCCAATCAGGATGCGCCACATCACCCGATTCACAGCAATACATAGTTATGGTACACAATGTATAGGTGATGTGGCACAATCTGATTGGCCTCCGGATGGCGTCCGGTGACCGCATGTAATAATTTTGCGACTGTGTGAAACTACTAATTATTCACTCCTTAACTAACATTTCTTGTTAATCTAAATAAAAATGAATTCAAGAATAAATAAAACATGACCAAAATAGCAAAGATCAAATAGAAGCTAAAGGAACTCACCAATCAAAAATACAGTGACAATAGTCCAAATAATCATTTGAATAGGTCGTCTATATTGTACATGGTATTGAGACCTTTGAATCTGCCTTTGAAAGGCTCCAAGCCAGCCATAGAGTTGCTTATTGTAAGACTCATCAGTGCAATCGCTAAGACAGCTCTTACTCTTCGCATAGCAAGCATCCATGTCCTTGGTTTTAAAATAGGAAATACCGTCAATGAAAGTATAAATGACATCAAGAAAATCATCGAAAAGAAAAATAATACACTTGAAGAAAAAAAATTATAATAATAAAAATCATAATATTACTGAAATAGATGAAGATCATTAAAAATAGGAATAATAAAATTTCATACCCGACTCAGCTGATTATTCTGCAATGGTATGGTCTCCATCATATCTTCATTGCTAAGAATCCTACACTTCCTAAAGCCATTTCTATACCAATTGGGCTTAGTAATTGCTTCCACGGTTCTAAACTGTGAGAGATTAAATATCCTTGGAGGAGGCTGCTCATTTAATAGTTTATGTGGAGACCGCTCGGTAGAAACTGAAGTCTTCCATACCCCTAAATCAGCACAAGCACTGGCTACACTCTGGTGATCTTTCATTTTCCCTTCCTTCATGTCCAATGTATTGAAGTTGTTGGACTGGCAACAGTTCAAAGAAACAGAACTTTCTCCATTCATAATATGTTCTGCCTCGGGGAAATCACCTGACGATGTCGGTAACACCTTCTCTACTTTACTTTTGGGGTACGAAAGGAAAAGAGCAAGCTCGTCCCTCTCAATTTCGTCCAGCCTTACCCACTCCAAAGCACTCCTCCTATCCTCTACATTCAATTCCTTTAGAGCCTTCTCCACCATCGAAATTTTGCTCGAAATGGCCACAATAAAATCGCTGTGCCGAGTTACGGTATCTTCGCCGGATGAAAGTGCATGATCACTAGATTTGACTGCCCTCTCCAATTCCTCCAGCTGAGAATTATCCGGAATTATTCTAAAATTCGCCCAGAAAAATAATAGGAGAAAAGACTTCAATAATCAAAAAGTACCTGCCATTTCGCGGTGCCCAGGGCAGTGTGGAGCTCCCGCCGTAGCTCAGCGGCAGATAGATCCTTGACACCCCCGCCCGGTCTCTTTTCGTGGATCATCCATCGTCGGTAAACCGATTCCATCCTGCAAAAGGGAACATAGGAATTTTACCAAAAAAACGAGAGGGGAAAAGTGACGCTGGAGATAGTCCAATACCTATCGGAGGATTCCTGCACCTCCTCGGCAGCGTAGAAGAAGGGGTCCTTCTCCCATCGATCGAACGCCGTCGCCATGAATGAGCAACCGAATCAAACTAGAGATTAAAAAAAAAAAAAACCTAAGCTAAAAATCAAACAGTGATGAGGTCGAAGAACGGAAGAAGTGAGTCTTCTCTGTCGCACTCTCTCTCTCTCTCTCTCTATTAATAGCGGGTGGATCGTAAACTCAAAGAGCGCCGGAATCGGGGACCTTGGGCCCGCCCGAAGAGAAGGCACTTCTTGCACTAGATGGGCCAGTAAAATTACTAAGCCCCTTTATCGTTTATTGGGGTGCAATCGAGTCGAGTCGAGTTGAGAAGTTCGTCAAGATCCTGCTCTTGAGGCGAAGCCTGCTCCCGCCCTCGCTCTTGTGGCGAAGCCCGCTGCCGCGAACCACTCTCGCGGTGAAGCCCGCTCCCGCTCTCGTGGCGAATCTTGCTGCTCTTACGCGAGCTACTCGACGAGCTATCGAGTCTAGCACCCAAGTGTTCGAGCTCGAGCTCGATTAGCAGTCGAGGTCAACTCGCAAGCTCGATAAGCTCCACTCGTAAGAGGACTTATCAAGTCGAGTCCGAGCCGACTTGACTCGGTTGCACCCCTAACCATTTGTAATTTGCATACTTCTGATCAAAGATAATTGTCGGCCCGCTAGAAAGAGGTTCGTCTCGGGTCTCCCGGGTTTGAGAACCCGCCCGATTGCTAAAGTACCGATAGTTTAAATGTTTGGGCTGAGCTATTGGGGCCTGGGGCCCACGCGCATGCTTGGTCCACACAAGTGGATGGAAAAGGCTGTGGGAGCTGAGTCGAACGGAGAAGAGAAGATGCCTGCCGACATCGCAACGTCGCCGTCCATTATCTTAAAGTTAATGGATTTGGTCTCGCTTACGTGGCCCAGTTTGTTTGGATTTTTTTTTTGCTACTTTGTTTCTCAATTAAATCTTTGCCGCCCCACTTGCAAAGATTTATATATAAGAAGCAAATTCGATTCATCCACGTATCGGCCTGCATGTAATAGGTTGTGTGTTGAAGTTGTGAGGTGTTACAGATAATTTTAAAGTTTTTATGCCTGCATGATGACCACACACACAAATGCAAGTTTCATATTTTTTAAATGAGTAGAGAGATTTTTTTTTTTTTTTAAGACTATAGACCATGGATCCTTTCACTCCTATAAATATACATGATTTAAAATCACATATGATAGATGAAAAAATAAATAAATTATGGAGCCTAATTTGATTGAAATAGTTATATAGTATTAGTATTAGAGCTTCTTCAGCCGGACTTCAAATGGTTGTATAGCGACCAGGGGCGGAACCAGCTTCAATTTTGAGGGGGGGCAAGTACAATATTAAAATAATTAAATATTAAAAATAATATATATTTTAAGTGTAAAATTTATTATTATTAATTAAGAAATAATAAATTAGAAACATATTATTTTTTAAAAATTAAAATATTTTGCATAATTAATTTATTTAAGATACAACATTAATACATAAATTAAAATAAAATCCTCATACATATTTAAATGATATCCAGTAATACAATACCTTAACAAAATAAAAAGCAAAAATCAAAATGCAGAATAAATCGAATAACAAAAATTTAAAATATAATTTTTTTTTATATAGGACATTAATATTTCAAATTATATATATAATAGGTTTAATTAAAAAAAATTGATAAATATAAATATATAATTAAAAAATATAAAATAAAATATGATAAATAATATACTAAGAATACTCTTTTTTGGTATTAGAAAATGAAGTTCGATTGAAGATAAATTATTACAATTTGATATATTACTGTATTTTGGAGTGAAATTTAAGTTTTTAGATTAGAAATGGCCTCATAAAAGGGGCCATTGTGCAATTTGGAGTGCAGCAAGATATTTATCCCACTGTGTGGGGAATTGTTGTGCCAATATACTAAATATGGATTGTAGAAGATGTCTCATGTGGTGGTATTGGAAGAAGTTTTTAGGCCTTAGAGTTGATTTTTGTTAAGGAGCATTAGACATTAGAAGCTAGCTAGTGGCTAACAAGCATTTAATGGCAATACTTACCAGACAAGAAGATGAAGAATGTCACAAGTAATAGGGTGATCTATAGCCAATAATTAGCTTGAGTATTCTACTAATAAGAGGGGAGATTGGATGACCCAAAAGATAGGATTTCATACATTGATGGTTGATAAAGTTCGTATGTATCATCATTCATATTCAAGTAAATGGGGAAAGTCAAAATTCATTCTATAAAGAACAGTTACCTTAGTTGTTATCCTAATAGGAGGGGAGACATACGATCGAAAAATATAGACATCAACCACTGATGAGCATCAAATAATGTTCTATAAGAATTGCTAGAAGTTAGGTGACGGTGAGTGGTCTGCTTGGTTGCTCCGCTAATATGAGGAGAGATCAAGTGATTACTAAGAAAGGCATTGTTGACTTCTTTAGTTGATAGATGTCAAACGTTGGTCGTTAGTAGACGATAATACATAGGAACTTCAAAATTCAAATGAAGCTAGTTGGTCAACTTAGGCTTCGTTTGGGAGGACATATTTACTGCTTCTTAAAACAGCTTTTTAGTACAAAAATTTTAATTTTTGTACTAAAAAGCTGATTAAATAAGCAGTAAAAAGCCGTCCCAAACAAAATCTTAATCATTATTCTATTAGGATGACAAATCAAACTATCAAAAAGATTGACTTTAAATCATTGCATCAAGTATTGGTCCTTGATAGGCATTATAAGATGATCAATATGAATTATTAGAAGTTTAAAGATAATATATAGACGATTAGCTTAATGAAAGCACCAAGAAGAACAAGAACACAGTGGGTAAGAAGGGTTAATTGGGAAATTGAGGTTGCCAATAAATATAGCAAATGGAAGGAAAAAGATAGAAATTTTACCCTGCAAATGGCGGTACTCAGGCATTTCTCTTTTTGATAATTAATCTGTTATTTATATGATATTAGGCTGCTAGCTTGAAGAAATTATTCTATGCGGGACGCTGAAAGCAGCTCTACATCAGGAGACCAATTAGAATGAGCCACACCAACAATACCGAGCAGTACCGAGCCACGATACTGATGTGGCCCATTTTGATTGGTCTCCGAACGACATTCAGCATCCACACAGAATAATTTCTCGCTAGCTTGAGGTCACTTCATATTTTAAGCATCAATACCATATTATTAGTTTGCTAAAATCATCTGATTTTCATTATAAATATCATATAAAACATCCAATACAAATTGACAGATTATTCACAAACAACAAACTGCTTTCTGCAACTTATATGATGCTTTCTGCTAATCTGGACCTTGGATAGGCTTTAGGTGCATAATTACAAGATTGTTCTAACCTTGAACATCTATTTCTTCACAATGGCTTTCTCTTGCAGCAGAAGTGAACTTCCCTGGCTTTTATTTAAGCTCTTAGAATCTGCATTATCTTCATCATAGCTTCAACTGACAGAAACATCAAGACATTAGTTCAGTAGATCATCCCACTTGCAGTACTGTCCACCAGCCAGCGCACGATAGAACCGGTCTCTACAGTAAACTGGTCTTCCATCAGCAGCCTCAGCTGCTGCAGCTGCCAGTTCATCGTCTTTAATTACCTCCACTGGTAGTCTTAGCAGTTCTTTCTTGCTATAAATATCTTGTCATCAGGCATGTATTAATGCTAAGTTGTAGATTTAGGTTTCGTTTGTGACGGCTTTTTTTTTGTTTCTTAAAGCAACTTTTTAGCACTGCTTCTTAAAATTTTTTACTAAAAAACTGCTTTAGGAAGCAGTAAGGAAAGCCTTCCCAAACAAAACCTTTGACCACACAAAATGCAAATAATAGAATTTCTCACCTTAGATTAATTTTAACGTTAGAAACTGGGGGATTTGAACTGATTTCTTTTGAATCGAATATTGAATGTATGAAGTTCTCTACAGGGGAAGCCAAAATGAATAATGATACTGCAGTAACCAATAAAGCTCCTGTGCCCACTAATGTTTGCTTCAACAACTTGATCACTGGCTTTACCTGATAATAGTTTGGTGTAAAATTCATAATTAATTTCTAACTTTTAAATATAACATTGTAATGAAAGTATTTTATTCTTCCTTCATATAAAAATTACAGCAGAATTCTTTCGTAATATTTTCTTTTTATATTTGTAATATCGATTTTCTATACTGAATACCATAACTTTTAAGGTAATTTTTGCAGGCATATATTAATTTCTAAATTATGCTGCCCCTTATGGCCTATCATATTAAAAAAAAAATTCTTTTGAATTAAAAAAACAAATTTACGTGATATCAAAAGTGCTACTTTTCTAAAATAATGAGATAACTATCTTTTTGGATAGGAACTTCATACGAAGAAAATTAACTATATAAGACACAAGGCTATTAGATAGATAGCTCAGGCATGAATCCTCACACTTTTTTTTTTTGGGAACGGGTATCCACTTGGTGCTACCCCCGAAAGGGCACTTGACGGCGTGATTAATCCTTAACTGACCTAGAAGAGGCACCCACCCCATAAACCTCCTGGCCCGCATTTGGGCCCAACTTAAGAGGCACTGCCGCTCGAGCGGAATCTAGCACAACTAGCATGAGTTTGGGGGTTCCCAATCATACTCGCCCACCAACCAAGCTAAACATCGATGGGTTATCCTAACACTTTATTATACTTTTAGTTACTGCTCGTTACATCTGTTTATTTTAGTTGAAATTATACTGTGTGTGTACAAATGTTAATGATGCATTGAAATGATCATTTTCTTTAAAAAATTTTGCATCTACTATAACGTACCTTATAAGAACCCAATAACCTGTCACGAGCAAGTACCTGCAATAAAGAAATTTAAGAACTCATTACTTACAAAATAAAGATCATTGCTATGTGTTAGTCTCTTCTAGCATATGCTTTCATTAATAATAAGCTTCAATCACAAAGACATGAAGAATAAAATGTATATATGTATGAATTATTCAAACTTAAAATTAAGTCATAAATCATGATTGGACGAATCAAATAGTTTTTTTACTGAGGTTCCCTTTAAGAGGCCTAAAATTGTGCCATTTATGTTTTATATTTCTACATGTTTTTTTTTTTTCAGTGATTTATTAAACTTGTCTATAATGTACACGAGATATCAATTATATGTCAGCAGATTAAGGTTTCGTTTGGGGCAGTTTTCTTATTGTTTTCTAAAATAATTTTTTAGTATAAAATTAAAAAATTTTGTACTAGAAAGCAATAAGAAAACTGTTCAAACATAGTATAAGTGAAAAAAGTACAGGTTTACAACCTTTGTAGAACGATGTGCTTACCTCAGGTGGCTTCACCCACATTTGTCCATCATACCACCCCGTCTCCTCATAAGGAATCACTGCTGACAGTAGCCTATCTCCAACATAGCTCCATCCCTGTTGAATAAAAAAAAAAGAGGAAGCTATTATAGCACAAGTACGGACATCTTGTAAGAAAATGAACTATATGCACAATCATAAAATTTATGAGGATTTTTTTTTTCTTTCGCAACTGTGTTTAAAGAGCTGCAACCTGTAGCAAAGATAAAAACAAATACATAGCAGAAATAATATTGTGAATAGAGTATGTATTACTACTATCACTGTTACTGTGCACATGACTATTTATAATGAAAGGGTAACATGTGAAGAATAACAGTGCAGTTGTTATGGCTGGCATCTAACGGTTATGGCTTAAAGCATGTTTAAGTTCGTTGGGGAGCATGTGGTAAGTGAAGCAGATCACTGCTGAGACTGATGCCTCGTATATCTAATAACACCCCCACAAGTTGACAATTCCAGTTGAATAGTTAACTTGCACCTTCGTTGTATGAGGCGGGTTGTAGAAAGAGATTTTGTAAAGATGCCGGCCAATTGATCATGTGAGGCAATGGGATGTACTACAATATGTTGGGCTTTGATGCAATTCCGAATAAAATGATAATCTACTTTGATATGTTTTGTACGGGTCTGAAAAATCGGATAATTAGCCAAAGCAATGGCAGATGTGTTGTCACAAAAAATAGAGCTGGGCACAGATAGAGAAATTTAAAAGTCATGTAGAAGATGTCGCAGCCACAAGATGTCACACGCAATTGCTGCCAAAGCTCAGTATTTCGCCTTTGTGGATGAGTGTGTATTTGTAGGTTGCTTTTTGACAGAACAAAAGATGAGATTGTTGTAAGAAAATGTACATAATCCAACTACCGAACGTCTATCAGCGGAATCAGCAACCCAATCGAAATCTGCATAGGCTGAAAACTGAAGAGAGGAATTTGTAATTGGCAGTGCATATGTGACAGTGCCATGGAGGTAGCGTAAAACCCGCTTGAGTAGCTAAAAGTAAAGTTGATAAGGCTTGTGCATATGTTGACAGATATATATATATATATATATATATGTTGACAGAGATGGTTGATGGAAAATGTGATATTGGGCCGTGTAATGGTGATGTACTGCAACGAGCCAACTAGTTTTCGATAGAGCTCAGCTTGAGGGAATAAGGGAGAATAAGCAGCTGGAGCTGGCAGTTTGGTTGGGAGTGGGTTGTGAACAGGTTTGCAATGAAGCATACCTACTTTGTAGAGCAGCTCAGATATGTACCGTGATTGATTCAAGAGCAGACCATGTGGAAGAGGTTGTATTTGAATTCCAAGAAACTGTGCGACCTGGCCCAAATTTCTCATAAGAAAAGAGGAGTTTAAATTCTCAAGGAGGTTGTCAATCTCCTGTTGACTGTTTCCCATGAGAAGCACATCATCCACGTGGACAAGCAAGCAGAGGGAGATAGAGCCTTTATATAATATCAGGAAAGAAGGATCAGCCTTGCTCACAACAAAGCCATATTGCATGAGATGACTGGAGAATGTGGAGAACCACTACTGAGGGGACTGTTTTAGGTCATATATTGATTTGTGTAGGTGACATACATGCAAAGGAAATTGTTGATCATGAAACCCAAGAGGTTGTTTCATGTAGACGACTTCATCAAGTTTATCAAGCAAAAAGGCGTTACATACATCTAAGTGTAGAACCGGCCACTAAAAATGGGTTGCAACAATTAGAAGAAGTCAAATAGTAGAAAATTTCGCAATAGGGCTGAATGTGTCCATATAGTCAATGCCAAACTTCTGTTTAAAACCCTGAGCCACAAATCGAGCTTTGTGACGAGTAACTGACCCGTCAGGATAAAATTTAGTCTTGTAAATCCATTTTGCATCCAAATACGTTTTGATCATTGGTTCTTGGAACTAGGGACTAAGTGCCTTCATTTTGGAGAGCTTGAAATTCAGTGGACATAGCGACTCTCCAAGCAGCATGCAATTTTGGCTTCAGTGGAGAGAATGGGATGACTTGATGATGAAGTTCAAGTTTTTGTTTGGGCTTTAGATGTCCAGTTTGGAAGTGTGTTAGCATGTGATGGTGCTGGTGGAGGATGTGGAGCAGAAGATGTAGAAGTTTTGGAAGGTGTGGTATGAGAATTGTGGTGGTAGTGGGTAAACTAAAGTGATATGGTGTAGTTGCTGAGTTAGAAGAGAAAGAATTTGGAACATGGAGTGGGCTTTAAGAATGCTCCGTGAAGGAAGTGGTTGGAGGGACCGTGGAGGGAGGTGAGGCAATATAGGTCGGTACAATTGTGAGTGGAGAAGAGGTAGTTGACTATGGAAATGTTGAAGTTATTGATGAAAGTTTGAATGGGAATTTTGATTCAAAGAAAATGACATGCCGAGAGAGATAGAAGCGATTAGTGCGGGGCTCCAAGCATTTATAGCCTTTGGAGTCAGTAGCATACTCAAGGAAGACACAGGGTAGAGATCATGGTTCAAGTTTGTGGCGAGTGGAAGGGGTAAACAAGGGTAGCATAAGTAGTCAAACACACATAAGTGATCATAAGAAGGTGGGTTGTAGATAGAGGAGCTCATATGGGGAGAGACTTCAGGTGTTTTTAGAGGGCAGATGGTTGATAAGGTAAGTTGTTGTTAGGATCATATCACCACATAAATATGAGGCATATTTGCTTCAAATATGAGGGAGCGCATTGTTTCCAAGAGGTGTCAATGTTTTTGCTCAGCGATGCCGTTTTTTTGACGAGCATAAGGACAAGTAAGACGATGAATAATGCCATAGTTATTTACATAGTTTTTAAACTTGAAATTGACAAACTCGCAATCGTGATCGGATTGCAACATTTTAATAGGAGTTTGGAATTGTTTTTCCACTTGTTGCTTAAAGCTGACAAAAGTATTAAACACATCTAATTTAAAATTTAAAGGGAATAGCCAACAAAATCGAGTAAAGTCATCCACAAATAGAATGTAGTATTTATAATTTTGATTTGAGATAACTGGGGAGGGACCCCATATATCTATATGCAAAAGTTTTAAACATTTTCTAGTAGTAGAAAAAACTAGACTAAAGGGGAGGCGATGACTTTTTGCACGAGCGTTAGAGTCATAGTGGAATGAAGTGGGTGAAGGCTGTCTGAGCTTGAGTTCGGTGGATAGCGGATGTTGAATTGGAAGAGATGGGTGACCAAGCTGATTGTGCCAAGTTGAGAAGCTGGAAGATGTGATGAGAAGAGCAGCGGGGGCGGTGGATGGTTGTTGTGAATGAAGTGTGGAATGAAGCTTAACTGGGTAGAGGCCATGTAGATTGGGTCCTGAAAGGAGGATCTACTGAGTCTTGGAGTCCTTTATTGTAATGCCAGCATTGTCAAATAAAATGTAACAGGCATTATCATTAAGAAGTCTATTAAGAGAGAGGAGTTTGTGTAAGATGCGAAACATGAAGGATTTGGGGTAAATTGAGCTTCAAGGCGGACGTGGGTAAAATGCCTTTACCAAAGTTAGCAATGGGAAGGTGATGACCGCTGCCGACTTGAACGTGGGAAGTGACCAAGTGGCGATTGAATGGATTGAAGCTGGGAAGGGTCAGAGGTAAGATATGTGGAGGCATTTGAGTCCAAAAACTAGTCTATGGATAAATTGTCTTCTTGTGCCACCAGAGCTCTTGGCGCATGCTGATACGAAAGATTGGCACGATGCCAGCAAGAAATTGCATAATGCCCTATTTGCCACAAATTTGGCAAACAACCAGAGGGAACAAATGACAACCATTGTGGGAGAGTGGGGGAGAATGACTACCGCAATAGTTAGGTGAACGACCACGATAGGAACCATCTCGCCTGCAGCTAGAGCAAAGGGGGAGTACGTGGTAGGCTAGGTGTCTATTCAGTTGAGATGTTAACTTCCTCACTACATGGCAAGGCATACAAATCATCAAGGAAGATGGGCTAGAGTTTAGTCTGAATGGTTGTTTTGAAGGCATTGTAAGCGGGAGGTAAACCATTGAGTGTGTAGAGGATGACATCCTCGGGATTGATGTGGGAACCAGCGGCGTTAATGGCATCGACAAGCTGCTTGATTTCCGAAAGATATTGGAACATCAATTTGTCCTGCATTTTGAGTTGATGCAATTCGTTCTTGAGCTGGAGAACGCCGGAGCGGTTTGTAGCTTGTAATCGGCGTTCCAATGTAAACCATATTTAAGTGGAGGTTTCAAAATTGATAACGTAGGGTAACAATAGATTTTGGTCAATGAGATGCCAAGTGAGGTAAGTAGTAATGAGGGAAAATGAGTTATTTGAAAGGTGATTTGGGGGTTGTTAATGGAACCATCAAGGTAACCAGTAAAGTTGTTTGCAACAAAGAGTTTTAAGATCTGAGATCTTCATATAGGATAGTTTGTGGTGGTAAGCTGAACGTTTTAAAACTGATTTAACATTAGTCATCAAAAACTTTAGTTGCGAGGGGATAGTGATGTCAACTGTGGAGATGACGGGATAGTAGTAGCAGAGGAAGCTTCGGTACTCGCCATTAGAGAGACGAGAAGGATATGAGTACCGAAAAGAAAGCTTACAACCTATCTGATTGACGGCTAGCCTTAATCGAAAGTTCTCTCTCGTGATCGGGAGGGGTAATTAACTATAGGGGCTTGCGCCTATAGGAAACCAGAACTCAGATCATAAAGTCCTCGCAAAATGAGGGCGAAATCTCTGGGTAGTGTCTTATCTACAAACCCATCTGCCTTCCAAAATTTACCTCGGAACTTAGTTCGTTAAAACTCCCTCGCCGAATAAGGAAAAGCGAGCGGAGGCCGAGGCCGAATTTTCAGAGCCCACACACTGTTATTGTGTACATGACTATTTATAATGAAAGGGTAACATGTGAAGAATAACGGTGCAGATGTTATGGTAGGCATCTAACAGTTATGGCTTAAAGCATGTTTAAGTTCGTGGGGAGCAGGTGGTAAGTGGAGCAGATCACTGCTGAGTGCCGCATATATCTGATAACAGTGTTTTCCTTAGAAGTTTGATGCTTGCGTTTGAGTATGTGGTCATTATATTGGTGAATTTCTCCTAATATTGAATAGTTTCCATAAATGGACTGTTTTTTTTTTCTCTCCTTTTCTCTTTAGCTATATCTCTTTTTACAGAGGTATGACGTTCAAAATCATTATTCAATATTCTTATAATATAAGGTGGCACCAGTGACCCAGGTGTAATATAGTTTAAGTATTTTGGATCTAATATATAGAATAATGAAGACATAATTTCTAGAGTTAATATTAGATGGTTAAAATGGTAAAGTACATCAAGAATTTTATGTGATAAGAGAGTGGAGTTTTATGTGTAAATTTTATTAAACCACAAATAGGCTGGTAAGGTTCTTTCAATCCAAATGTTGGATTAGAATAAAGTCATTGACATCAAGGCTAAGTGTGAAAAAAATAAAAATATTAAGTTAAATGCGTCATAAGACTCAGAAAGATAAATTAAAGAATGATTATATTAGAATAAAGATTCAAGTGACATCTATTGAAGATAAGGTGATCAAAAATAAACTTGGATGATTTGGACATGTACAACAAAGGGCGGATAAGAGCAAGTTAGACAATTTAATAATATTTGTGTAAGAGGATTATGTGGGAAAAGTTACATGAATAGAAATTATTCAAAATAATTTATGTTATGTGTTTTATGAATCCTTAAATAAATTTGATTTACTAAAATTAAAACTTCATGATGAACTTCCTGTATTATTTGTTCATTAATCTATATAATTTCAAACAATTAGCCAACTAATTTTCCGCTAAGATCACAGTTTACAGATGATACCTTCAACTTTCAGAAACTCTAAGTATGGGTAAATGTGAAAGAAACAGCGATTCAATATTCTGCGTAAAAGGTAAAGTACTCCGATCCAGTGGGTAGAATGTCACTAAGATTATATTCTTGAAGATTAAAAAACACGCTAACATCAATAAACTATTTACCAAGTTAACTACCTTGTTCATGCCATCTTTAGCTAGCTATTTTGGTGTACGAATCATTATTTGATTAATTTTTCTATGTATATCAAGCTTTAAATCATTTGGTGGACATCATTTTTTTGTTTTTTACATCTATTAATTTCATTTTCCTTCAAACAACACCATCATTGGATCTGATGAGCTTATAACATCCTATTACACTTTTGAAACAAAACAAATTTGAATGGCTGCACCAATCAAGTTCTGAATATGGATATGAGGAAAAAATTGCTCAATTACTAATACATAGAAAGAAGAGTTACGTGGTGTATCAAGGGATGCAACATGGTGCAGGAATGCTTAGAAAGGAAATGCCATCTATGCAGTGAGTTCATTCGAAATTTTTTTCTTCAATCTATGTTGGAATGCTCGCATGGCTGTGTAAAATTGCAATTTAGTAATATTATTGGAAAACATTGAAATGGCTTCTTAAATCTAGGGATCAATCAGCTTAGGAACGATAATTAGGGCCATAACTGGTTGAGCCAAGTCGAGTATCACTATTCTCAAGCTTGTTTTTGTCATCCTTAAATAGAGTTTAAACATGATCTGAGTGCAAAAATTGCATTCAAACAATTCAAATTCTTTATCAAGTTCAAGCTACAATCAAACTTTAATCTGGTCTAATAAAATATATATGAGATGCCAATATTTTTAACTTGAAACCTTATAGTCCAACACGCATTTATAAATAATTATTTATGCATAAGTGATATGATTCTTATAAAGTTTTTTTTTTTAAGGTTTAAATATTAATATAACATCTAATTCTAGGATTATGAAAGACAACACCTCAACATCTCAACATCTTATTACATACTATTCTTGCAGTGAAGATGATGACCGCATATCTCTCATGCATTAACTGCCCAAACCATATTTTAAATTATCTATCTTACCAGTTTCTGATAATTATGGCTATAGAAATCTTGAAAAGCTATCCCCTACTTCAAATTTATGCTCAAGCTTTGTTTTTGGGACTTCTGAAGTTCACAATTTTCCAAATTTTTCCGTGGTAAGATATTGCGTCCCAGAAACACAATTTTATCTCATAGCAGCTCAGTTCATTTGCATATCAAAAGCTGATATATGATCTCATAATATGATATTTGTTTTATTTACTATCAAGCAATGGCCTAGAGCTCAACAGAAGTACGATACCAGATATATTCTGAGTACAACGAGAGACACCAAGAGAAGAGTGCCAGTCCCAGCTGCCAGTGCAAATCTGAGGGGATCCTACATTTACAAGAAAAATTCACAAAAATCCTTAGCAGAATGATCCAAGAAGAAATCTTGATGTGCTGCTTTTACAGATTCTAATGATATTTGAATCATGACTATTTAAAGTATACTGTTTGGAGGCTAAATTGTACATTGCATATAGAACTTATGCGATAAGATTTTTTTAGATCATGAAATGATTATTAGCGATCATAATGGTTGCTGTGTTTGCTCATACCTTAGAAGGACTAAAACTTGCCGCTGCAATCGGCGCTCCTAGAACAGTAAATGTCACTAAACACAAGCCACCAAGGCGCAGGAAAAATGATCCTGGGCTAAGTTCACCCCACGAGTAAAGTACACTGTTCTTCAACGACGAATATTCATTCACCTGTAGTTGCAATAGGTTCAGAATATATTTAAACTTTCAAATCCTTATTGAAAAAGGGAAAAAACAGCTATGTTGTTCCATCATATAGATACAGTGCTCTGCAGAAGTAAAAAAGTCGAACTTACAGGTCTCTGCTCAAAAGGAACCTCATTCTCCAACCCTGGATCCCAACTCTGGCCGGCAAATCCACTGCTTCGCCCATCTGGTTCCTCCTTCAACGCTTTGACGACACAGAAATGGCGAAATCTCGACGGCAGACAACTCAAGCTTTGAAGGCGAAGTATGCTTCCACTCCGGCGAGCTTGGTCTCTGGCAATCTTTGTTGCAGTGATTGCATAGTTGCAGAACTGGAGCCGAAGCATAGTTCCGCTGCTTTCCCTGCCGAGCTTTAGCAGATCACAGAGCAATTAAAGGATGAAGCTTAATAAGTCTGAAAGAGCGAGGTTTGTTTATGGCCATGAATATATTTGGTGGAAGCAAATATATTTGAGCTGATTCTGGATTTCTTATCCGAGTTTTTTTGTTTCTGTTTTCTCTCCAACGCTTGTTTGAGATCTGTACTGTTACTGTTGAGTGATTCTGTGGAAAGCTTGTGGGGGCGTGAGGAGAAACACGTGGTGGTTGGTTTCTCACACGCTGCCGCTGTGTGCTTTTCAGTCTTGGAAATACTTGCTAAATTGAACTTGAAGAAGACCGCAAGGAATTGATTAAGCAGAGGAACAAATTGAGACGGACCCGCTCCCCTTAGTTTTTGGTACTCACAAGGGAACCCATATTAATCATTATAGGGATTTTTACATACATGTCACTTTATAACATGTGTATTACATATTTAACATCTAATTCTAAAATATTACACTCCTATGACCTATTTTTTATTTTCACAATAAAATTACCACTCCGTTAACCAGCAACCTCACTCCGTTTTTTTTTTTCCTCCCGCCTGTGATTTTCGCGGGAGAACAGGTTTCAGCGAAACCTTGTGTATCCCTCTGAGCTGCTCTTCCAACTTTGCTGCTCTTCCATGCGAGCAAATTTTATTCCCGCCTGTGTTTTTCACGGAGAACCGGTGAGATTTTTCTGCATTTTTAACATGAACACAATTATATCAAATTTACATAACCTGCTTAATATCAGATTTCTGAAGCTCATAGTTTGTTCATAGTTTGTTCATTGAGCTTATTGTTTGTTCTACAATTTCTGAAGCTTTCCAACCGAAATGAAAGTTCTGTAACCTGCTTCTATCTAAATGAATGTTATGTAACCTGCTGCTATCCAACTGAAACTTCCCAGTATAAAAACGTGAAGCAATAACCTTTTATGCAGATGGCGGTTTAACACAAACAGCAAATTTTGGTGGGAAGAGCCGAAGGCGCAAACAATTTAGGGCAGGGTAGTGTGAAATGAAGCGGAGAAGAGACGGAGTGAGAGGGAGTGGTATTTTTGAGGTTAAGTTTGTATTTGAGTGGTATAAGTGAAATATTTAAGTTTTGAATGTTAAATATATAATACACATGTTATAAAGTGGCATGTATGTAAAAATCCCTAAAATTTATTGTCAATATATATATACATAAATGTCAAAAAAACAATCTACTCAAAATTACTCAAATATATTATAATATTTATAAAATTAAATTTAGGGGTGTCAATTTCGGGTCATGGGCGACCTGGCACTATTCGGGTAAACCCGAACCCGACCCGTTTTTAAAAACGGGTCAGTTTTCCGAACCCGAACCGACCCGCTTCGGGTCCGGGTCAACCCGACACGACCCGAATGACCTATTTCCAACAAAAAAATTACTAATTTTCACGTCAAAACGGGTCAATCTCTTCTTTTCATGTCAAAATGGGTCAAAATCGGGTCAATCTCGGGCTGTCGAGTTAAAATCGGGTTTTTGGGTCAAAATGGGTCATTTTCGAGTCAATTTCGGGTCAAAGGATTAACCCGAACCTAACCCGATTTTTGAAATGGGTTGAAATGTTGAACCCGAACCCGACCCGTTTCGGGTTCGGGTAGATCCTAACCCAAAATTTTAGGATCGGATTCGAGTCGGATTTTTTGGTCGTATCAAATATCGACACCCCTAATTAAATTCATAACATATTCAGCATGCAAGTCTTTCTTTAGGAGCTGTTTAATTTGCTAAAAAGTATTAATGTAATAAAATAAAAAATATTTAAAATTATTCAATAAGAGTAAAAGTTATGTGAGAGAATTTTTTTTTTTTTTACTTTAAAAACATTTTTTTCCTTTAAAAACATGAATGCAATGTAAAATAAAAAGAAGATGATGGCTATTCACGGTAACCGATGGCAGCAAGCTATGATTATCAATGTTGTGGCCGACTTATGAGTGGTGACAACATATATTTGACTTGCAATGAAAAAAAACTCAATCAAAATTGGACAAATTTATAATACATCAAAAATGAATTAAACAATAAAAAAAATAATTCATAAAAATTATTTTGTCATCATCATCAAATTAAGCACTCATATTATATTTTATATTGCATTTCTTTGCTCGGCATTATTTTTTTAAGCAAACCAAATAACCCCCTGATAATACTTGCCAACAATTCCTAAATAGTTCATAGATTTTTTATTGCAAAAAAAATCTTACAAGGAATATATATATATATATATATATATAAGAACATTCACCCTTAATTATTTCACTTTTTTAATTCTTTCTCCTGTTAATTCAGATGCTTAGAACCAGCTTATTTTGTTTTCGCCAACGATAATCGAAATGCATATGATACGAGCATTATTTGAATGTAGTATGTTGCTCTAGTCATTTTGCACATGTGGCTATACATTTAGTGAAAATCATTATTTCATTAGCAATTTGAATATTTTGAAAACTATTTTACATTTGTTGGAATAGCATGTTTAGAAATCATTTTGAAAATTATTAAAGTGTTGTTTGTAACTCATATAATTTTTATATACAATAAAAAATTATTGTGAGCATATTTTGGTCAAATTATTGCAAGTGTTGCAGCATTTTAAGGTAATCAAATTAAGTTGTTTATAAGATCACCCCTTGAGTTAAAGTCTATCAAAAGTTTGAGATTTTAAAATTATTTATATGATCTTTTTAATTTTTTTTTCTAAATCATTGACTTAATGTGGTTGCTGTCATCATCACTTGGTCTGCGGTTATACTCACTGGGGTAAAAGAGTATGGAGGTTTTGTTATTTTAAATTTTGAGTTAATGGAATCCTACAAAAGTTAGTATAAACTCAAGCTTTCAACATGGCAGATGTATCTGCAATCTTCTTTATGAAAGCTGAAAGATCTGCAATGCAAAGTGTAACTATGAAAGGACTCAAATTAATATTAACCTTGATGTTGATGTAATAATTGCTTGTGTTACAGTTTAAGATGCTATTATCAAAGAAAATGGATAGCGATGGAGTGGGCAGTAAGGAGAAATGTCATAATGGGCACAGAGCCAACAACATAGCACTTGCTAGCATGAGCATAAGAAGGGAGAAGCAGTCGTGAGTGCATCAATCATATGCTATTGTTTGCTTTGGAATTGGAGAGTGCATTGAATAGAATGATAGCATAAGAGTATTTATCAATTTATATTATAATGACTATTGTCAGACATGTGGTGTTCAATGACACAATGCTAAAACATGTCCCAAGTTTTACCTAGTGATCACACAACCAACACCAAATTATCCCCCTTAGCTCCATAACCTCCGACCCACCAGCCATCGGCTCTATGTCAACCCCAAGCGTATAATGTCATTACTGCCAACTCCAACACTCCTAATTGGATACTCAATAACAAAGCATCTCATCATGTCATTACTGAACTGAACAATCTCTCATTGCATACTCGCAATGATGGCATTGAAAACAATATGATCAGACATTGCACAAGTCTCCCTACTATCAACATTGGTTTCACACCATTGTCTGCCTTGTTATTAAACATGTTGGTCTCTATATTAAATACATCAACAATCCCTTTCTTCAAGGAAATTTACCTATGGACGCTTATATGACACAACCACTAGGGTTCATTGATCAAGGCTATCCTACTCATGTGTGAAAACTTCACAAAATCATCTTTGTACTAAAAAAATCACTGTGTGCCTAGTATTATAAGTTCATCAATTTCTTGTCATATTCCAACATCGAAACTTTAGAATTTGTCATCAAATCTAGCAATGCCAGGCTCTATCTCTTTGTTTATGTTGATGGCATCATCATTACAAGTAATAATGATGTTGTGGTGCAACAGTTCATTGCTCTTTTATCCCAATAATTCACCCTCAAAGATATTGGGCCTTCATATTAATTGGTGTTGAACTTACCCATGCTTCCTATGGGATTCTTATGTCAAAGTGAAAGTATGTTAGTGATTTACTTAATCACACACATATGATCAGTGCCAAGCCTGTTGCTACATCACTTGTCACCAAGCCCACAATTAATCTTCACTTTGGCACTTCCTTGATGGATCCCATAAAGTATTGTGTCATTGTCGACAACACTCAATATTTATGTCTTAAACGACCGAACTTATCTTTGCATTCAACAAGCTCTCACATTTCATGCATCTACCAACAACAACATTAGAATGTCATCGAGTGCTTGTTATGATGCCTCCTTATCACTACATTTCTTTCAAGAAGGATGATTATAACAACCGCCCCTGGTGCGCACCCATGCTTACATTGTGCATTTATCCTATGGTCCTCCAAGAAACAACATGCATTTGCACGTTCTTCTATTAATGCTAAATTTTATTTGTTGCCACCTTTGTTGTTGAACTACGATGTATGTGTTCTCGCAAAATTTGGTGAATATTCCCACAGGGGCCACAATTCTCATCATCTATGATGGCAATATTGTTATTTATTGCAAAAATGTTAGGACGACCACTCTCTGCTCTAATTCATTTTTTCACTCTTGCATGAAGCAAGTTGCAATATTCTTACCATTAAATTGGAGACGAGTTTATGTTGGTGTTCTTCACGTGACACATAAGTCCTTTGATGATCAACTTGCAAATGCCCTCACTATGTCACCCCTACGCACCCAATTTCATACCTTAAAATCAATATTGCCATATCCATTGAAGCATCACTTTGACAAGGCATATTAGAGGAAATATCTCATTACCATAAATCGGTAACTATTGTAATTATTTGGCTTCCTATTTCGCAATCCTATTCAAGTATTTTGTTTCCTTTTGTAGTTTTTCAACCACAATTGAAATTGAGAGAACTCCTTTTTTTACTCTTGTACATATCTATATAATTCGTCAATTCCATAATAATATATTCAAACTTCAAAGACATCCACATATTACTAAAAGATAAACCCAGAGAAACGATTATAAATTAGAGTTAGGTTTTCCAGGTGAGGGCACAGGCTTACCCCCATTGCACTGTGAGAGACTCGTAATCCCAGTACTCTTTCGGGTGAATCACGTTGACGTCGGCATAAACTCGAGCCTTCGAGATGGAGGCCGACCCCTCGATCTCGGCGATCGAAGATGGAAGATCAGCGAAGCGCATATAAGTAAGCGCACAAACTAAGATTGATCTTGGTGTTGATATCATTGCTGTTAGTGTTACATGTGGACGTGTTATTATAAGAGGAAATAAATGGCGGTGGAGAAATTAGCGGCGAGGAGGAAAGTACCGGTGGGCGCAGTGCCAAGAGAACTGCTCTCGCTAGCAACAGCGGGAGAAGGGAGGGGCGGTTGTGAGCCCATCGGTCAGGCGCCACTTTCCGCTTTAGAACTGGAGAGGACGCTTCGTTTGGGACGAGGTTTTTAAAATTCTGTTTTAATAAAAACAAAAATTCTGTTTTAATAAAAACAAAATTACTAAAATTTTATTTTAAAAAACAATAAAAAAATTTGTCCAAGATAAAATCTTAGGCCTCGTTTGTTTGCCCGTTTTTCGTGCTTATTCCGTCAGCCGACGACAAAGCAGAAATTTTATTTTTGTTTGATAAAAAAGCTTTTTCTTATTACGTTCGTAATATCGGTGATTTACCTAAAAACGTGAAAGCGAAAAGTGAGCGACATTTTCAGAGACGCTCCGCGAACTGCCCTCATTTTCGCTATTTTACCCTCCCACGACACAGACGAACTCACGTATTCTCTTCTTCGAGCATCCCATTCACCGCAACAAGGCTTCAACGATGAATCGAATCTCGTTCAAGTGGCCAAAAATCACCTCAAAAATTTGTTGGAGATTCCTCTACAGCGCCTCCTCCTTCCTGCTTTGCTCGTTTCTAATTTTTTTGAACCGATTTGTCCTGCAAATACAACTCCAATCCCATTCGCATCCATCCGTTTACGGCAACATTCGTCATCCATAGGTACGCCCTCTCATATTACAGCAAATACAATCTTACCTCACTCCACAAGCACAGATCTTGCTTTTCCATTTTTGTATAGGCATATTTTATTATTATTTATACAATAAAATTTAACTATATATGAAAAAACCGAAAGGTAGCCCGTCGCCGCCTTAGGCAGGGAAGCGGAGGCGGGGTTTGGGGTCGGCCGTGGTGCGTGGCGCGGCGGAGCTCGCTCGGGCGCTGGTTGCGTGCGAGGAGAGGAAGGAGAGGCGGCATAGGGAATGGAGTTGGAGTAGCAGTGACTGAGAATAGAAAAAAAAAAATCGAACGGAGATGAACCAGCATGGCCGTCGCTGGCCTTATGGTTTATCATTATTGAACATATATTAAAAAATATTTCATAACCTTTCCAAGTGGGACATTATTTCCAGGACGGTACTAGTCCTCCAGAACATGAATTCATCAAATGTGATGATTTTCCCAAAAAAAAAAAATGTGATGCAAGTAATGCAGTTTTATTTATTCATTACTATGCTACAAAAGATATGAATATTTAAAAATGAGTAGGTGAGCCATATTATACGTGTAAAATATATTAAGTAAATTTGAGTTTAATATATGGGTAGTTTCGTCATTTATGATGAAAAAGCTAAAATTGATAATTATACCAAACACTAATTATCTATTTTAAAGTTTGAATAAGCACATAAAAAGTTATTTAACCAAATAATAGTTTGTAATAACTCCATTATATAGAACATTATTTTTGAAACTCCATTTTCTCCACAATCACTTTAAAACAAACTTTTTCAAGAACACCGACGAACCAAACAAGGCCTTAGTCGGTTTAAACTTACCGTATTTGCCTATTTAAGTGGTTTTTTGGCTAACAAAAATATTGTAAAAATATTAAAAAATTTTCACTGTATGTGCTAATAAAGAAATGGAATATAATCGCTATTTTATTTCTTATGTACTATATCTAAGATTTAATAATACTAAATAATCCCACTTTAATAATTAAGACTAATTATTGAAGCCTATTGTTAAGAGAATGCTTAGGGGCTGTTTGATTGCCTATATTTAGAGGGTATTGTAAAGTAAATATAGGGGTTTTAATTTTTTTTTGTATTTGCTATGATGTAAAGTATATGTAAAATAGATGTAAAGTAAATAAGTATTTAAAACTCTTTGGATGGTGTATGTTTGATGTATTTCAAATTCGCTCAAATTGGGTGAATTCTAAATACCGAGCTCTGAAACATAAGAACGGGCGCACGAGAATCTTCGTGTCTTTGTTTTCCTCGCGAAAGAAATCCAGGAAACGAACATTATTCTTCCTCTTGAAATCCTCCTCTTGCGAGTGTTCTCGTCCGTTATCCTCATTGTGTTTTATCACTCGCAATCCAGCGTTCGCTCCAGTCATTCACTCATCGTGCTCGTCTGTCGTCCTTAGTGTCATTCTTCCTAGAAGCGTGCAGCAAAGTCCAATCGTTCGGGTGCATCTCGTGAAGTCTAGCAGTTCGTCTATTCCTACCTTGCTTACTAGGGTTTATCTCTTCCTTTTTACCTTCTTATTTAACTTATTATTGCGATAGATGAAAAGATTGGGTTGTTCTTCCATGGTTTCTTCCGACCGTTTAATGAGTTCTCATATGAAAAATTGCATTTTGTTGTAATGGAACCTTTTTTTTTTTCACTTGGAATCTTTTGCATCACTCATTTTTAGGGTTCTTGAGCCATTCTATGAAATTTTGTTTATGTATTGGAGAAGGAAAGGGGTTTGGAAAATGGTGTTCGTAGGGTTCTTTCTCAGTTTAAAACTAGGAGAAAGCTTTTTTATTTTTTATTTTGGAAAGATAAATAGGTTTCATTTTGATTTTCTACGTATTTGATTATTTTTTCCGAGTTGAAATCTTTGGCTATTAGTTTCGGCAACAAGTTCTGTAGCAAAATTGTTAGATACTATCTTTTTTTCTTTTTGGAAACTTATAGATCACTATTGGTAACTATGGATGAACTATTGCAAGATGATGAAGAACAACAATCCAATTTCAATAAACATTTGGGCCGCATGAGTAGATGAAACACAAATTTCTTCCGCAGTAGAAGTAGTTGTTGTTGGTACATTTACTTATGCTTGTTATTCCCTGAAATTGACAGAGAAAGAAAAAAAATTTAATCCACAATGAAAAATACAATGGCACACATATATTTCTAGGTTATGTGACAAATCTGATTCTGCTTGTATTGATATGATATGCATGAGAAGATAGCCTTTCTTCAAACCGTTACTTAGTACGGACAAGAAGATTGTTGGCAGACACACTTCATGTTCTAATTGAAGAACAAATGGCTATATTTTTATATACACTCGAACATAGTGTTCATAATTGAGTCATTCGATTTAACTTCCAACACTCTAGGGAAACAATCAGTAGATATTGTAAAGCTGCGCTATACGTTGTATGGGAACTTCGCCTTGAATTAATTAAGCCTCCAAGACTTGAAACTCCTTAGAAGATTCAGGCAAGTAGTAGGTTCATGTCATTTTTTCAAGTATAATCGAATCACAATTGATATTATTCAATTTTTTTAGTGGTCTTTTTAAGATGCATTTTATCAAAAGTAGGATTGTGTTGGAGCTGTAAATGGAGCACACATCAAAGCTAGAGTTCGTAAATCGAATGAATATGCATTTAGAGGAAGAAAATCATACTCAACATAAAATGAGTTAGTGGCAATTGACTTTGAGCTTGAGGTTCACCTATGTTCTCGCTGGTTGGGAAGGATCTGCTCATGATGCAACAGTGTTTAAAGATGCATTATGACGACCATATGGATTAAAAGTCTTAGAAGGTATAATGTCTGATTAAATTTTGAATGTTTTAATAATTAGTGACATGTCCAATGTATTAATATCAATATGACAGGCAAAATGTATCTTGCTGATGGAGGCAACTCCACACGCAAAGGGTTTATCTTGCCTTTAGTTCTTTAAAAAATTGAGGGTACTAGATTTTTGGGTGGCTAAACCTCTCTAATGTACTTTTGGTTGCAAGCAATATTTTATAGATATTGTTTTGATTTTTTTGCCTTTTGTTTTCTCTTGTATATGTTATATAGTTTTGTCTTATTTTGGTGGGAATGTCATGTTCTGTTTTTCATATATTTTATATTGTTTAGGCCTCATGGATTCTTCACAAACATTTGTTCCAACTACTTCTAAAAATGAGAAGAGAAAAAATTTCTTATGGAGCTTAAAACCATAGTGGGTAACTGGATTACTACAAGTTATGAATGAGTATGTAGATGCCAATATGCAAAGTATCCAAGGATTTAAGGAGTTGGTGTATGAAGGTGCTACTAAAAAAATTGAAAGAAAATTTTGGGATAGAGGTTACAGTTGAGCAATGTAAGAATTAAATTCGGCATCAATTAACTCTATGGACTCACATTCAGGAGTTAAAAAAGGAAATTAGTGGTTTCTTGGGACGAAATCACGAAAATGATTTTGATTGGTCAAGAAGAGTATGCATCACATATTCATGTACTATTTTAACCTCATCTTCAAGAAGAATGATATGTGCTAACAATGAAGAACTTTTATTATATTTCAGGCTTTTCCAAAGGATGTTGCTTATTTAAATATGACAATTGCAAATTATGTTGAGTTGGAGAAGGCATGTGGTGAAAGGCATGCAACTGGAGAGTGGGCCAAAGATGGTAATTCTCAAACTCCACTTGGGAGTCGTTAAATATATGTCGAAGACGATGATGACTCAGTATTTGTGGAAGATGGTGTGGATGTATCTCTAACTAGTGATTGGCCTGATGTGGAAATTAAAAAGGAATCCATAATAATAAATAAGATATTGAGTTCATCAACACTAGTTGGTGCCTTCAAAAAGAAAAGTAAAGTATCTACTATTGATCAAACTCTTCAAGAAAATATTGTGTTGATGGTCGATAGTGTCAATCAAGTTGCAAACGCTATCCATAACACAGGAACATCAAGTGCCTCTCAAGAAAAGAAATGTTCACTGAACTTATGACAAAGCTATCAAACGTGCATGGATTTTCTGAATAAGTGGTTGATACAACATACGATAACTTATCAAAGAATTCAACTGATACAATCTTTGCTCTCTAAGCATATGGAGTCGAAGGCTAGATGGATGCGTAAAGAGTTATGAAAATGATTTGTGTTATACAAATTGTTATCACTATGAGTTATAATAGCTCGATATTTTTGGAGTTTTTTTGTGTTACATATATAAACATTTTGTTATGTAATGCCTTCATATGTATTTTGGATTTATGAAACATTGATGATATTGTTCAATATGTTTGATTGCTCATTGAATAGTGTTTTTGTCATTCCATTTCAATAGTATACTTTTGCTTCAATACTGCTCATCATACGAAACAACTCCAAAAGTATT